GGGCGACTGAAAGAACTTTACCTGACGACGCTATAAAAAGGGACAAAAGAGCCATGAGAGAGATGTATAAAATACTTAGGAAGATTGACAGAATGGAAATAGAGGAAATGTTCACATTAAATACCAATAGAATCCGGTGGTGGAAGCTTGAGACTCTGATGAGTCAGATGTTGGCATATAAATGAATCGTTAAATATTCATTTAGCGTAAGAGTGGTGAGAACACTGAATGAGCTAAAGGAGTAGGTTGTGGAAGCAAACTCCATTCATAATGTTATCAGTAGATATGATGGGGAAATAGGACAGCAGTCATCGCTTTAAACAGCCGACGACTAGATAGGCGGGGTCCAAGAGCTAATGCTCGATCCTGCAGGCACAAATTAGGTGAATACACACACACACACACACACACACACACACACACACACACACACACACACACACACACACACACACACACACACACACACACACACACACACACACACACACACACACACACACACACACACACACACACACACTCCCTATCCATAGGTTCCTTGAATCAAAATGTTATTCTCTAGTTAAAATCCTCCATTGGTGACACTTCTTCTTCCACTAGTGTACTCGAGCCGTGAGTATCAACACAGGTCAAACGTTATCATAAACAACACTCATCTACAGTGTACTGAGCTGGGCCGATAATATACAGAGAGACAAGGATGCGACGGAGAGAGACAGGGGCTGAGGGGAACCTGAATACCCAAATGAGCCACAGCGAAATTACTAATTATATGAGCATTGTCACTGAAATGAGACGAGTATAAGGGAGCAGAGCAGTGAAGGGAGAATGTATACGTGGCTTCAACACCAGGTACGGGATTAGGGAACAAGTAGTCTGGCGATGGGGGAGACGGATGCAAGAGAGAGAAACTAGATTGTTTCCTCCAAGGAGTGCCGGACCAACCGGGCTGTGGTGGGTATGTGAGCCTGCGGGTCACTCCAAGCAACAGCCTAGTGGACCAAACTCTCACAAGTCAAGCCTGGCCTCGGGCCGGGCTTGGGGAGTAGAAGAATTCCCAGAACCTCATCAACCAGGTATCAAGAGATGGTACTCAGCCTCCGCAAGCCAAGATGTCCGTACATGCGGGCTATAATAGGAGATAGTTGAGACAACTTCAATACAAGTGTTGAGAGCTTTGGAGATTTTTCTCTGGCAACAGCTGACTCTGGATCTTCGTGGTGATCAGAGAGGAGGAGAACAGCGGATGCAGGGAGTAAGTTTCAAAGAGGGAAGAACTGCACAAGAATCTAGACTCTTCCGATCAGTTAGGGAGGCCTGTGAGTAGCTGTACCAGGCGGTACCCAGTGTGAACAAGAGGTTTGATTACTAGTATTATTAAGCCTCTTGCCTCGCTTGCAATATGAAGCAAGAGCTCTGAGTTCCCCTTCTTTTAGCTCTCGCCTTCATACTTGAAGGCATATTCCATTTTCCGCGTTTGGAATATGAAAACAAAAGCTCCAGCACGGAACGAAACGTCGTCACTTCCATTATGTACAGATGTGTGGGCCGAGTGTCTACATTATCAGCCACGTTACTGTTACCTTCGTTCTACCTAAGTTATTGCATTAACTGACCAGGATGTGACAAGGTGGGGTTAGGGGGCTATTGTTTGATCCTATAAACACAAGTAATTGAGTACACGCGCAACTTGGGTCTCCCGCCAGTAAGCAACTATTCCCATTATGGACTTGTCAATGAGTTATAGCTTAATAATTACAAGATATAAATCAACGGTCTGTTTATTTACATAATTTTATAATTCTGCTCTGTGACATTCCTCGATGAATAATAAGCTGAATAATCTTCTCATTATTTATTACGTTTTTCTTCACTGTCGGGGGTAATTGAAAAATTAACTCTCCAAAGTTCATTTCCTCATTTTTTTATTCATGGTCTGACGCCTAAAAGCGTTTGCAAGGACTTCTCACATTTTCAAAGACAGGTTTACATATATCATATCATGCTTATATTCGTTTTGGGTGAGGTGATATGACAAATGTTTTTGAGTGAGGTGACACGAATCAATGGGTATAAATTGCATATGAGAAATTGCATGTCATATATGTATGAAAGTAACAACAGAAGATCTGTTGGCTCATATTTTCTCTTGCTGCTTCTATGTTGGTTTGGGGTCTTGAAATGGGTCGCTTCATATATATATATATATATATATATATATATATATATATATATATATATATATATATATATATATATATATATATATATATATATATATATATATGTGTGTGTGTGTGTGTGTGTGTGTGTTTGTGTGTGTTAAACTTCAGGGTTTAATTCCTTGCTTTCCCTCCTTGTCGTCAGCACCACACACACACACACACACACACACACACACACACACACACACGAGCTGCACTCTCGTTTGATTTCCTACAAGCACAGCTACACTACTGAACAAGCGACAGCAAATATTACAAGGCAAAATCAGGATTAATACACGTATATTGAGAACTACGCAAATTCCCCCCCTGCCAATCTAGAAGCAACAACCGCGCTGGCCAACACCCAGTCATGCTAGAGTAATAACTAACTTATAATGAGAGGAACAACATACTTCAGCCCTCAAATCTGCGGCCATGAAAACACACACAAGGCTCCTTTCTGTGTTGTGCATGACTCACGGCTCATGCAGCTGCTGCAACTGCTGCTGTTCCTGCTACTCCCACCATCCCTCACCCAGGTGGGTACATGAGAATATGTACTTTATTAATATTTGTACATGTATGTACACATATACAAATGTATATGTGTACATACAAAAGAATGGGGGTGGTAGGAGAAGAAAATATTAAAGTGTTCAGTGAGAATCCACAAGGTCTTCTCTGAATACTCTTTATTTTCTTCTCCGAGAAAATTGTTAAGCTCCTCTCCTTGTAACATTTTAGCCCGAGGATAACAGGCGTTGAAACACAGCGCAAATAAAGAAATCAATTCGGTACAATTCATTTATAATTTACCTGGATATCTGAAACAATTAATACGAAGTTTTGAAAAATATTACAAAATTCACGCAAGCTAAGCCTGCCCTGACCTTCAATAATATATATATATATATATATATATATATATATATATATATATATATATATATATATATATATATATATATATATATATATATATATATATATATATATATATATATATACATAATTTAGAATCAACTGAGAGATTTCTCTTAGTACGACATTTGTGAACAATGATTCAACATTCACACTCGCTCTAACAACCTTGACTATTAAACTTGTCCCAATTTATTTCACAAATTGCGATGTATTCTCAATAGCATAATCATGTTTTTTTTTTATAGACGCTATAATTGGATCTAAAAGTTTTGTTGACCAGACCACACACTAGAAGTTGAAGAACTCACAATCGACTTGAGAATGGTCCAGGACGGACCGAAACGTCGTCGTCCCTTCAACTTCTAGTGTGTGGTCTGGTCAACATACTTCAGCCACGTTATTGTGACTCATCGCCTGCACTAAAAGTTTTGCTATTTTATAGTAAGAAGTACCAATAGAATATATTATTGCTGTGTGGCGGGACAACTTTAGGAAGACAATAGAACTTAGATCCGGTCTGAGAACCGGTCGCATAAAGAGCATTATATATTTTATCTCTTACATGGCTTTTAATGTCTTAAAACCCTATTTAACTTTTTTTCAAGCTTTACAACAGAAGAAGACGTATCAACGCTGAAAAGACGTATTAACATGTTTTATATACTGAAACCATGTATTCGCCTAGTTGTACTCACCTAGTTGTGCTTGCGGAGGTTGAGCTCTGCTTTTTCGGCCCGCCTCTCAACTGTCAATCAACCAATTGATTTTTTCTCTCACACACACACACACACACACACACACACACACACACACACACACACACACACACACACACACACACACACACACACACACACACACACACACACAGGAAGCAGCTCGTAACAGCTGTCTAACTCCCAGGTACCTATTTACTGCTAGATAACAGGGGCATCAGGGGTGAAAGAAACTGTCCATTTGTTTCCGCCATAGCCGGGGATCGAACCCGGACCCTAGGATTACGAGTTTCAAGCGCTGTCCACTCAGCCACAGGGCCCCAATATGTGGGTCCACATGTGCCCACGAGCGTATTGGCTTCTCCCGCCCCTTTTGTTTAAACGTTATCATAAAATATACATTTGTTACAAAAATGAGACCTTTACAAACAAGAGATGCCAGACCAATACTTCTTAGGACCCAAAGAGCTCTTCCCACATCCCCGAACCCACGGTCTACTGACGATACCACCTCTTGGCCAGAGCAGCGATGGTACCACCCCACTATCCCCCCTGAAACCCCTGAAAGTGCCATCCCACTATCCCCTCTGAAACCCCTGAAAGTACCATCCCACTATCCTCCCCCTGAAACACTGACAGTTCCAACCACTCACCCCGTCCATCTGCCATGCCCACCAAACAGGCACAAATGACTATCCCTCCCCGCCCCCCCCCCCTCTCCCACCACTGCTAAGAAAGCCCACTAGAAAATACCTCATATTTACACGCAGTTATAAATCTAAACATAAATCCTCACACACCCTCCAATCCCACCAAACGCACCCGTAAAGGACCTAATTAGCGCAAATTTACCAGAACTAATGGGTAAGGGGGTCGCTGCCGGGGGGAGGGAAGGGGGGGAAGGTAGCCACTGGACACGTAAGCAGGTGGATAGGACATCACAGGCAGCCCAACTACCCTTGTCATCGTATTGTGTAAAATATAACGCATAGGCTGTCACCACAATCATTCCCACCACCATCGTAATTATCACCACCACCCTCATTATCACCAACCACCATCATATTAAACAACCATTAAAATGCTAAGCAACCACCATCACCACCACAACCACTAGCAGCAACAGACATCTCGAATAAACTCCAATTAAATGAAGGAGACGCTCTTAATTAGACTATCAGCAGGGGTCCCTTCGCCCGCTGACCACACTGGACCAGACATACTAGTGCTCATTGTTGCAGGTGGATGGGTCCAGTGGGACACCTCCAGGTGGATGGGTCCAGTGGGACACCTCCAGGTGGATGGGTCCAGTGGGACACCTCCAGGTGGATGGGTCCAGTGGGACACCTCCAGGTGGATGGGTCCAGTGGGACACCTCCAGGTGGATGGGTCCAGTGGGACACCTCCAGGTGGATGGGTCCAGTGGGACACCTCCAGGTGGATGGGTCCAGTGGGACACCTCCAGGTGGATGGGTCCAGTGGGACACCTCCAGGTGGATGGGTCCAGTGGGACACCTCCAGGTGGATGGGTCCAGTGGGACACCTCCAGGTGGATGGGTCCAGTGGGACACCTCCAGGTGGATGGGTCCAGTGGGACACCTCCAGGTGGATGGGTCCAGTGGGACACCTCCAGATGGATGGGTCCAGTGGGACACCTCCAGGTGGATGGGTCCAGTGGGACACCTCCAGGTGGATGGGTCCAGTGGGACACCTCCAGGTGGATGGGTCCAGTGGGACACCTCCAGGTGGATGGGTCCAGTGGGACACCTCCAGGTGGATGGGTCCAGTGGGACACCTCCAGGTGGATGGGTCCAGTGGGACACCTCCAGGTGGATGGGTCCAGTGGGACACCTCCAGGTGGATGGGTCCAGTGGGACACCTCCAGGTGGATGGGTCCAGTGGGACACCTCCAGGTGGAATGACTTAATCGCAACTCCCCAAAACTAAAACTTGAAGGATTAATTATGACATTGACTCGGACAAACCCGCAAACTTCCAGCATCATAAATCAGTCTTCTCTCGCCTGACAGATTACCCTGGAGGCCAGCCGACTGATCAGTCTCGAGCACCGCAGACATAATGCCTCCATAAAAGCCACACTTCTTATTTGGCAACTCAATCGGGACACCCGCAGCTTGAAATATTAACCGGAGACATCGCCGGCTTGACGGATTAATTGCAACACCTCCCGTCCCCCTCCCCCCTAGGGAGTTTACAACACCCACTGGGAAAACCCACTGGGGGTTTTCTGCCCCCTGCCTCCTCCCTGTGCCTCCATGCTAACCCCCAAACATTCCCTAGACCCCCCACCTCACACACAAACACACACTCCTCTCCCTTTCTAAGCCACCTCCTCATGCCATCCCCTTTTCTTCCCTATGTCACGTTAAATCAAACCCTTTCCCCCCCTCCCTAAGCCACCCCCAGCTCATACCATCACCCTTTCCCCTCCTCGTATCCCTCCCTCTCTCTTCCCCAACCCCGCGCGTTTATCACGGGTTGGCCCGTGTTATTGGCGTTCTCTTTGTTTTAGCTCGCCCTCTTATTTTACCCAGTTACTTGTGGCAATTGGCAAAAACGAGGTTAGTGAACAGCAGGGCTCACGCTAGTCAGGGTGGCTCAGTGTTCACTGTGGCCCAGTGTTCACTGTGGCCCAGTGTTCACTGTGGCCCAGTGTTCACTGTGGCTCAGTGTTCACTGTGGCCCAGTGTTCACTGTGGCTCAGTGTTCACTGTGGCCCAGTGTTCACTGTGGCCCAGTGTTCACTGTGGCCCAGTGTTCACTGTGGCCCAGTGTTCACTGTGGCCCAGTGTTCACTGTGGCTCAGTGTTCACTGTGGCCCAGTGTTCACTGTGGCTCAGTGTTCACTGTGGCCCAGTGTTCACTGTGGCTCAGTGTTCACTGTGGCCCAGTGTTCACTGTGGCCCAGTGTTCACTGTGGCCCAGTGTTCACTGTGGCCCAGTGTTCACTGTGGCCCAGTGTTCACTGTGGCCACAGTGGCCCAGTGTTCACTGTGGCCCAGTGTTCACTGTGGCCCAGTGTTCACTGTGGCTCAGTGTTCACTGTGGCCCAGTGTTCACTGTGGCCCAGTGTTCACTGTGGCCCAGTGTTCACTGTGGCCCAGTGTTCACTGTGGCTCAGTGTTCACTGTGGCCCAGTGTTCACTGTGGCTCAGTGTTCACTGTGGCCCAGTGTTCACTGTGGCCCAGTGTTCACTGTGGCCCAGTGTTCACTGTGGCCCAGTGTTCACTGAGGCCCAGTGTTCACTGTGGCCCAGTGTTCACTGTGGCCCAGTGTTCACTGTGGCCCAGTGTTCACTGTGGCCCAGTGTTCACTGAGCCACAGTGTTCACTGAGCCACAGTGTTCACTGAGCCACGCGTTCTTTAAACTAATGTTGTGGATTTCTTTACACTATCTTTAGATTGTGTTTATATACAAATTTATGTCTATATTTATATTTATCTAATGTGTATATGTTTATAATCTCCAATATGTTTGTAAATTGGAGATAACTGTTATCCAAATTACACTCTAGCCCTTTCTTACCCCCCCCCCCCATGAAGTTAATTAAAGATTACCAGGAGCTTGGTATTGAAGCCAAGTCTAATGCTAATGCCAGATTGATATTTCAGTCAAACTAGACACACGGGTGTCCTCTCCCCCACTCCCTTTGCTACTGAGGGAGCTGTCACCCAGAGTGTGACTCGTTGGTCACTCACTGCCTTGAGAAGTGGGACCCGTTGGTCACTCACTGTCTTGAGAAGTGGGACCCGTTGGTCACTCATTGCCTTGAGAAGTGGGACCCGTTGGTCACTCACTGCCTTGAGAAGTGGGGCCCGTTGGTCACTCATTGCCTTGAGAAGTGGGACCCGTTGGTCACTCATCGCCTTGAGAAGTGGGACCCGTTGGTCACTCATTGCCTTGAGAAGTGGGACCCGTTGGTCACTCACTGCCTTGAGAAGTGGGACCCGTTGGTCACTCATTGCTTTGAGAAGTGGGACCCGTTGGTCACTCACTGCCTTGATGAGGTTCACATTGACTTCTATACTTCTTGCACTTAAAGTTTGGATAGCCAAGTTGGACGAATTTGTGCCTTTAAATGACTTACTCATCCATAATTACTATTGATTTCTAAGACACCATTGCAACATGCTTGTATACGAAGACACGCAAAAGTCTAACAAAGTTTGCATGACGATCGCACGTATTAACTGTAGAGCTGAAGTCTGAGGAGCGCTCCGGAGCTCAGTCTTGACCATATACATAAATGATTCAGACATAAGATTGAACAGCAATAGTTGCACGTTTTCCGACGATACAAAAAATGGGGGTGTGAAATAAACATTAGATAACAAATTATTACAAGACGATTTAAACACTTAAAATAGGCAAAAGTTTGACAGGTGCAGTTCAATGGTAACAAATGTGGGATTTGTTATGTAATGCTATTGACGGGTTGCCAGATATCACCTGAATGATTTTGGAATTGTCAAATCAAAGGGGAAAAATATCTGCAAGTCATGATTAGAAAAGTCATGATTTTCATGTCATGATGAAAAAGTCATGATGAAAAGTCATGATTTTCTTGCCCGAAACGCATTGCGTAATAGTGGCTTTAGGCATTGTATGTACTAGCTCTATCTATATATCAATCCATTAATGTAACATCACTTGTATGTATATACCTTACCTGAATAAACATCTGAATCTGAATCTGAAAAGATATCGAGTCAAAAAGTAAATTTAAAAATATCCGGAAATGATATAAAATTTCAGCATCATGACATCTTATGTTAATTTTCAGCTTTATTTTGCCCTTGTTAGTTCCCATTACATTACGTAGTTCAGTTTTGATACCGTTCTGGAAAGGAAAAATAGACAAATTCGTTATAACGGGAACAAAGAAGGATGGCAAATTTAGTCCCAGGAATTAGAATCCCCCTTTACGAAGATATACTAAGATAGCCTTTAAAGAAACTGGGGCCAAATTCACGAAAGCACTTACGCAAGCACTTACGAACCTGTACATCTTTTCTCAATCTTTGGCGGCTTTATTTCCAATTATTAAACAGTTAATGAGCTCCGAAGCACCAGGAGGCTGTTTATAACAATAACAACAGTTGAATGGGAAGTTTTCATGCTTGTAAACTGTTTAATAAATGTAACCAAAGCCGTTAAAGATTGAGGAAAGATTTACACGTTCGTAAGTGCTTGCGTAAGTGCCTTCGTGAATCTGGCCCCTGGAAACTAAGCCAAGAGTAAATAAAGGTCGACATGACTATACAAGTGAACGAAACTCTATATAAATAAAGAGGGAAATATAATAAAGATATTAAATATGTGAGCACAAAATTCAAACACGAAAACAGAGATACAAACTGATTAAGCATAGATTCATACAAGTATATATATATTCAACGACTAAAAACCACAAATTAAAATATGAAAATTGACCCTAATGCCCTCCTTTGGGAACCAATGGGACACCACCATCAACCACAAAATATGTGTTGAATACCTGCCAACGCTAAGCTGCTCATGCCCCCAGGGGAAGGTGAGGGGGAGGCACGAACACTAATATTCTATTATATAAACACTCATTGCATTACGGAGCAGCTGGCCGAGGCTCTTGCGTGGTAAACACAGCAGCAGGGAAAATCCACTTGATGACAGGTAGGAGCCGGGTTAACTGCCACCTGCCACGACACCCACATCCACCTTTAGGACCTCCACCCCCCCCCCCAGACAACCCCTTCCTCTTCCCCCGCACCCCCAGACAACCCCTTCCTCCTCCCCCACACCCCCAGGCAACCCCTCTTCCTCCTCCCCCACACCCCCAGACAACCCCTCCCTCCCCCAACCCCCCCAACCCCCAGTTAATCTTTCCCTCCCCTCCACTCACCGTTTTCCTTTCTCTCGCCCATCCTTCGCTACTGTTCCTGTCTTTTTCTCTCCCGTCTCTCCTCTCTTCCTCCACTCTCACCCTTCCCCTGTAGGTCTTCACCCTTGCTGACGCTTCCCCGTCTCCCTCCCCGTCTCCCTCTCCGTCTGCCTCCCCGTCTCCCTCCCCGTCACCTATCTTGACCTCTACCCTTATCTTCAGGTTATCTTGAGAGGATTTCCGGGCTTAGCGTCCCCGCGGCCCGGTCCTCGACCAGGCCTTCTTTTTGTTACACACCCCCAGGAAGCAGCCCGTAGCAGCTTTCTAACTCCCAGGTACCTATTTACTGCTAGGTAACAGGGGCATCAGGGTGAAAAAAACATTTTGCCCCAAACCACCGGGGATCGAACCCGGGACCTTAGGACTACGAATCTGAAGCGCTGTCCATCCAGCTGTCAGGCGCCCTAACTATCACTCTCATTCTCCATTCACAACCCTCACTGTTCCACTAGCCCCTTCTTGAGGTTATCTTGAGATGATTTCGGGGCTTTAGTGTCCCCGCGGCCCGGTCCTCGACCAGGCCTCCACCCCCAGGAAGCAGCCCGTGACAGCTGACTAACACCCAGGTTCCTATTTTACTGCTAGGTATCAGGGGCATAGGGTAAAAGAAACTCTGCCCATTGTTTCTCGCCGGCGCCTGGGATCGAACCCAGGACCACAGGATCACAAGTCCAGCGTGCTGTCCGCTCGGCCGACCGGCTCCCTCAATGACCTCAATGTCTCACTCTCCCTTCAGTGGCCATACAAGGGCAGGGATGGGTTCATAAGTGATGCAGCTTAGAATATAAATAAAATCGTTTTTAATTCTTAAAAATGGACAAGCAAATTTTTTATAAATTATTAGCATGTCGTCCAGTACACCAGATTCAATGAAATAGTTACACAGTTGGTGGTACAATAGGCCAGGAGGTCTAAAATCTTTTACGGTTTCACATTCAACAAGATAGTGTTCTAGTGAATGCATTAAAGGTTTGTCACAGAGTT